CTATTCCCAGTTGGCTTGTTAGCTCAATTGGTAGAGCGCTGCACTAGTATCGCAGAGGTCAGTGGTTCGAATCCCGTGCAGGCCTGATTTTTTTCAGGTCTGATTTTCGCTATTGCATAAATAGCGCTATCTACTGCGAAGGATCGTGCATCATACGTATTTAATACCGCAGTTCAAAATATATGAACTTCATATATTCATTGTATCTGATTTATCATCACGGGTTTATTACGAATCAACTTAACGGCCTATTCCCAGTTGGCTTGTTAGCTCAATTGGTAGAGCGCTGCACTAGTATCGCAGAGGTCAGTGGTTCGAATCCCGTGCAGGCCTGATTTTTTTCAGGTCTGATTTTCGCTATTGCATAAATAGCGCTATCTACTGCGAAGGATCGTGCATCATACGTATTCAAAATATATGAGCATTAAATGTGTTTGATACCGATTATCAACTGGATTACAGTGAGAGCTACTCCGGTGCTGTTCACCAAGAAAGTGCTATAGAGGGATATCAGTACTGCACCTCTTCAACCAGAGCCTTTGAGGCACTACCTCGCCCCCACCCCTCCCCAGAAAAGGGTCTTCACACTACATAACAAATACTGTTTTCAGCTCTCTGTTTACAGTCTATACATATGTGAGGAACGATCTGGTATACCAAGACGAAACAGTTGAAGGATAAACCAATAAATTCATAAAAACTTAGGCAAATGCTACACCAATTTCATATTAACAACATTAAAGGTGTATTGCTGTTGCAATCTATTGTAATAGTAGTTTGGGGTTCAAAACATTTGATTCTCACGCTAGCGATTTGTACATGTATGGTAGAGGGCAGCCTCAAGATACATTTATTTCTTCTTGAAGTACCTTCCCTTGATAGTTTAGTGCCTTATATTTACACAAGCCTTGTAACTCCAGATGGAAACGAACAAACTGGAGGGTAATAGTACAAAATATATTTCACAGGTTTATGAGAACCACTCTAACAACCCCATAAAATTAATAGTTCACCTGGTAATAAGCTTTGGTGGTGACTTTGTTTTCTTTTAGTGATAAGAAAAATAAGCAATGGTTTTCTTGTGCGGGTTAAGTGTCGTCACCCAAGCACTTGCAGCTGGTTGCAATTAAGAGCTATCTCAGCCTGGAATTTTCTGTAAACCAAGAAAAAGATAGATTGAGAAGACAGCCTATTTGGCCAATGACTCACCCCACTACAAAATTTAATCAAGTCAAAACAAAAAAAAAAATGGAAATGGCGTCTACTAATGAGTATTGAAAAAATACCAAGTAGTAAATGGCACTACCTCACCCCCACCCCTCACTACATAACAAATACTGTTTTCAGCTCTCTGTTTACAGTCTATACATATGTGAGGAACGATCTGGTATACCAAGACGAAACAGTTGAAGAATAAACTAATAAATCCATAAAAACTTAGGTAAATGCAGGCACAAAAAAACAAAGTTTCTTTCTAACAGAAAACCTGAGTGAACGCAAATGTGCTTTTAGTCCAATTAAAAATCAAAGTGCCATATACCTTTTCTGAATCCATAAACTTTCTCCATACCAACTTTTAATCCAAAAACTCTTAGTAGATGGTTAAGATTTTACCAAAATATCCTATAAACTTGGTGCTTTTTAAGTTGTGAGATACACTAGCTGCTAGAACTAGATATCTGATTTTTTTTAAAGAGTTGTTTATACATATTTGTTGTTCATGGAGATATTAACAGAACTAATTTACATATATTTAAAGTACAACTTAAATATTGATGGGTGCAATGAAATGGTTGGGGATACCTGTATGACTCCTTTCTCCCTCCCTTCTATAGCATGTCTACACTCAAATGATTCATGTCAATATAGCTTTTATTAATATTTTATACAAACATGTGGTAAAACCAGTTTTGAAATACTTCCATAAACATGTAGATACGTAAAATTAATGATGAATAACAACAACATCTTACTTATGATTACAAATGCTTGAAAAATTATCTAATAAGATAGGTCATGGTTTCTAAGGATAAGCCTTGAGCTTTTTTATTTGGTTGGCAGTATTTTAAATCCTATGATATATATTTTGCATTTTAATCTAACAAAGATGGATCCTGAATAAAGAAGTGCCACTTCTTTAAAGAAAGATTTTCATTCCAAAAGGTCCTAATTAGCTTTAAGTGGCAGAAAAGAAATGTTTTGACTTCTGTCTGAGATTGCCGTCACGCGCTTTGTTGCTTAATATGATCAACAAGCATCTTTTCTTTCAGGTAATGAATATTTCATTAAATTACAACCCACCCACTTTTTTGTCATCTCAAAAACCCATAATTATTAAGAGGTGGGGGGGGAGGGGGTAAGGCGGAATCCTGTGGAAATAAGTAGAAATAATGCATTACACGAAATTGGTTAAACAACTTTAACGTTCAAATATCTGGAAAAGCAAAAAATACATACAGTTCACATGGTTTAGTAATTAACAGATCAGGAAAATTAAAAACACTTGATCCCGCACCATGCAAAAAAACCCTTCTCCCCCTTGACTAAACTTTATAAATTACATAATGTTTAAGAAAAAATGTAAGATCAGGATTTGTTCCCAATTCTTGCCTATTCACACCTTTTACATTTTCTTAGTTAAATGTGTCAAGATCCAAATTGTCCTAAATCAGTAATGCAACACAAACTGTTGAAAATTTAAACAACTAACAACCTTAGCTAGTAACCTTTTGGTGGTGTATTTGACTGGGCCAGGCACTATTTAGATACAAGTTGGAGCAGTAAATACATTACTTTGATACAAATTTCTATTCAGAAAACCTAAGCATTTTTAGCAAGCGACATTTTTTCTAACCCATAAGGACTAATTTCTTCAAACTCAGATATTCAAGTCAATGAGATGAAGTTGCTGTAGCCAGCCATCCACTTGTTTCTGTAAACTAAGGTTAAGGTAATTTTGACGGCACCATTTTGACTTTGGGGCTTGTCCAAATTTTGTGCAAATAGAGCAACTTGATATCATATTGACTTAAATATCTGAATCAGATGGTTACCAAAGTCAGTGACTACAATATTTGCATTTCTTAACAAGCCCAAAGAAACTGGTATATTAAACTCCCCCCGAATGACAAAAGTGTGCATAAGGCTTCCCGCGGTGATATAAAGTCGATATCATATTGACTTGAATATCTGAATGCGATGATTCCGGAAGTCTGTGACAACTATCCTTCCATCACTTAAGACTGCTAAGGAGACTGGTTCATTAAATTGCCCTGGGCCTGTACCCACTGTTCCAAACTTGGACACAAAATTTCCATTTAAGTCAAATACTTGAATTCTGTGATTCATAGAATCACAGACCATCAGGTTTCCTGCCTTATTCACCGCCAAACAACGGGGCTTATTAAAATCACCGTCACTTTCACCTTTTTTCCCAAATTTAGATCGATAAGTGCCATCGCTGTCAAACACCATGACACAATGTTTGTTTTGGTCTGACACATAATATTTGCCACCATACTGAACACAGTGAAAAGGATAGTTAAAACAACCCCTTCGACCAATTTTACGCAAGAGAGTGCCATTGCTAGAAAATATCTTAACTACTTTGTTTTCTTCATCAGTGACAATGATACTATCGTCATCTTCTAAGGATAAACCAAGCGGATAGTTAAGTTGATGAATGCGAGTTCCTTTCGCACCAAACTGGCTTAGTACTCACCCTGCTCACTAAACAACTGAACACGATGGTTACCATTGTCCACGACCATGATATTTCCATTCTTGTCAAAAATTATGCCCCTGGGACAGTTAAATTCTCCGTGTTTGACACCCTTCGCGCCAAAGGATCGTAAGTGTGTGCCATCGCTGGTGAATACATGAACCCGCCCGACCTCATGATCTCGGCCTCCATGATATGTAACTGCTAATTCGTCACGTTTGTTAACTGCTACACCCCAGGGGTAGTTAAACATTCTGTCCGAAGCACCTTTTTCTCCAAAACAAAAGTCTAGTTCAAACTGGCTGGGCCTTACGTGAGCAGGGGTTAATTCGCTGATTTTGTAGCGAGGATCATTGTCATCTTGAGCCGCGGGAACCTTCGTCGCACCATCATTACCATGGCAAATGAAGGAATCATCCTGCTCTTTATCGCGTTGCTGTTGTGATTGCCAGTCTTCGACATTACTTGTTCTGAGTGCATTTTGACTTTTAACAGAGCTGGGGACTGATGCTGTTCTTTCATGTTCAAGGGAACCGATTTGTTCAGCTTTCACAATATCGAATAGGTTTTGATTTCCCCTGAAATTTATCTCGCAAAATCGTTCATTATTAGTAGCAACTGAGTTGTCATGGCAAAATTTTTCTTCAAGTTGCAGCAATTTTTCAAAAAAAGTTTCTTGTTGCAATATATCTGCGTCTGGGTATTGTTTTAAACGATTCTCAGTTTTGTCAAGTGCTAAACGTTTTGTATTTACTTGGCATTCAATCTCATCTTTTTCCTGCTCAAGACGCTGAGTTGACAATGCCACTTTTTTATCAACGTCAACAACTATTTTCTGCTTCTTCTCTTCAAGAACAGCGATTATGCCTTCGACGTACCGCTCCGCTCTTCTCTTTAATTCTTTGGAGTGATCTTGAATCTTTCCACAATCCTTTTTGATTATTGCTATGTCAGACATATTCTTCTTTATGCTTTTATGGTGGAATTTAATTGCAGACTCGAACTTCGACTTTAGTCCGTTTGCAGTCTCCTCTAAAGGTACCTTGGGATGGCCGTCATGTAATGCCCCTATACACGTTTGGCAAATGGCAACGTCACATTTCTTGCAAAAGAACTTTAACTTTTCGGCCTTGTGATTCTCTATTTGACAAAATGCAGGCCTCTTTTTAACATCCTCGATGTCGTGATCCTGAAAGTCTTGGAGAGCCAACACACGGTGTTCTTTGTTAGCCCGTATGATATTATGCCCAGTGATACACTCGTTACACCAGAATGAGCAGCATTGGAAGCAGTACAAACTCTGGTTTCTTGTTTTGTCGCAGTTTCCACATTTCACTCCTACACTATCGTGTTCTTTAATGGCCAAGACATCTATCAGGTTTAAAAGGTGGAAGTTAGTGGGAAGCTCCTTAAGATCTCCACAGCTTGGAACTCTAATTTCTGTCTTGCACTCAGGATCGGGACATGTAAAGGTATCATGGCGGTCACTTGATTGTAGAGTATCTTCTAAACAACGCGTGCAAAAGCTGTGATCACATGGCAGCCTTTTTGGCTCAGCATATAGAGCTTTGCACTTTGGACAAGTTACTTCCGTGCGAAGATTTTGAAGGTTGGAAATCAAGGGTTTAGTTTCCATGACTGACGCCGCGAGGTAGCCAGTAAGTGATCAGTTGCGAAATGGCCGCCAAAAATCATTTGCAACGGTGGTAAGCATAAATTTTGAAAAAAAAACAAAACACCGAAACAACGCAAGAGTGAACTTACGTAACTGTCTCTATTTTTGTTCATATACCAAGAAAATAGGTCATGCTTCATTGCATTTCTCGGAATTCGGAATTGTCTCTAACGACTCACCCCAAATCGTAAGCTACACAACCGCTTGAATATCTCTCTAAAAGCCATCTTACAATTCCTAAACTTGTGAACAAACGATTGGATTAAAATGTTCCCATAGATCTCAGTTTTGGTAAGGAATCAAGGAGAGTTAATTTTTTTGTAGTTATAATTAGATGTCTGACATGCTGTCAAAACAAGTCCAAGGTTAGGTGAATATAATAGCACTATAATTGAAACATCCGGCCGCTTTCGTGAGGAGTGGAATATATTTTCACAGCATGTATCAGGAGTTCCAGACTTCCTGTTGAATCGCACGGCGTTGTGGGCACGCGGGCTCAAAAAAGTGGGCATCAACTTGCAGCTTCGCCACATTCGAATACATAGAGTGACTTGGATTCAGTGACTTTTTACGCAGGAAAGCCCTTGTTCTGAGCCGAATTATACGTGAGGGAATATTGGAAAACCAAATCGAAGGTATTTTAAAGGTGAGCTGATTTTTCATTCCTTTTTGGCAGCGTCATTCTAACGATTTTGGTGTTAGAGTGTAGTCGATTTGAGAAGCTACGAGTTTGATTTTTGCTTCCTCTCTTACTTACCTTGTACTTCTTTTGTTCTAATACAGATACTTTGTCGATGGCATTTGGCCACCGAAACTGTGTAGTTATAGGCTGTCCTAACAGTGGACAAAGGCTAGGAAAATGGGCTGCTACGACCTGTGTACTTCATGGTTGGAAAAATGGCTCAAGTATGTGTGACTGCCAGCCACCCTTCAAATTATTCCCATTCCCGACAGAAAAGAAGAAACCGGAACGCCGATTACAATGGGAAAAAAATATAAATAGGAACAATTTGAATGGGACTCTTTGGATGCCTAACAAGGATTCAAGAGTTTGTAATCTACAAAATATAATATAATAGCACTATAATAGGAACATCCGGCCGCTTTCGTGAAGACTCGACTACATTTTCACACTCGTATTAATAGCAATGCATTTCGCAAGAAAAAAGAAAAACTTAAAGGTATGACATTTACATATCATTATAGCTGGACTAGTCGCCTCGAATAGC